TGCTTGGCTTAGGCTGACACAAGAGCTTGAACTTCTTCCTGCTGCCCAACTATAGGAGTTTCCAGCAGCATTCCTGAAAGAGGGGTAGCGACTCAAGTGCTGTCTGTGAGCACACTCCTCTGGTTTTAGTTTTTTACTGTGACTGCTGGGAAATGAAATCCTAGTAAATGCTTTGGAGGAGGGTGAGCTCTCGAGGTGATGGAGATGAGCGTGCTGTGGGACAGTCTGAGGATCCTGTGATGGTTCTTTCCATGGTTCAGTCAGTTTCTTAGGTTGTTTCTGGTGCTCAGGCTCATGCCACACTGACTCTGCCTTTTCCTGAGCCTGCACTGCTTGAATTCACAGCATCACCTGTATTCTGTTCTGCAGGATTTGTTAAGCTCTTTATAGATCCTTTCAGTGCAGACACTCGTGTGTTTAATACCTCCTACTCATACTTGAGAGGAACAGTATTTCTCTGTCAATGTAGAAACATTCACCATATGAGCACTCGATCCTGCAGGGCTGCAGCCGACTTCCTCTAATCTTTAATGGTGCATCTTGGCAGAAATGTGCTTTCCATGCTGACTCTTAGCCCTAAGTCTAAACAAAGCTGACTCTCCAGGAGCTGTTCTTCTGCACTGGCACACAGCCTGGAGAGAACTGAAGCTCCACTTCTGTTTTGTTCCTCTTTCTACTTGGAGTTTGTCTGCTGTGCTGCAAGACACTGACTCAAATGAACATCAGCTTCATACAAATCAATGAAACTCATGACGGGAGCTTTTTGCATCAATTAACCAGATTGCAGGTGGGATGGGAATTCCTGGGTGTACAGACTTAGTTCCCAGCCACCCCATCTGCCCAAAAAGGATCCATTTGAGCCAGCCCAGTACCAAAAAGATCTAATGGCTAAAAAATGGGATTCTTCTCCCCATGGGAGAACACATGGTTGTTGTTTAGCAACAGCAGCTTTTAAAGGCTACAAATTACAGCCAACAAAAGAAAATTCTCCAGACGGAAACCACAAAGAAAAGGGTGGCAGAAGCAGTTTGGATTTAGCAAAATTGGAGGTGAACTGCCATGATGCCAAGTGTGATTCCAATACCTAAATCACTCAGTCTCTTTAGCTATGGAGGGTGCTTCTTGGCCCTTTAATAACTATCTCAGCAATGAATCAGTTGTTGGTTTTGGAGAGTGTTATAATGGGCTGGACTAGATTTAATCTTTGGTTAAACACTTGATACAGAGCCAGGTGAGTGTAGATGTTTCAGGTTGCCTTCACTGTGCACACCATGAGTTGTAGCAAAGCAGTGCAAGTGTTCTAGACCTTAGTGAAAATTCCTTGAATTTGCAGTTCAGCCTTTCAGAGGCTTTTTCAGCAGTGAATACTGTGCTGGAGGGAGGGGTGGGCAGGGGAGAAATGCAGCGTTCTTTCCTTCCAGGTGAATCATTTACCTGCAGTATCTTTATTCTAGATCACCATTTTACAGGAAGGCAAAGCTTGAGAAGTCAAAAGGAGGTTTCCTCTCCTCCTCATTCTTGTCTACTGCTCATGGCCAAATCAGCACTGCTGATGGTGACAGCAAAGCTGGAAGAGGAGCCAAGGGCAGAGGGCCAGGAACTGGCAAAACTGAGCCACCTGCTCTCCTCCCACCTTGTTTGCTTGTGAAATGGTTGCTGCTGCAAGGGAGACTGTCACTTGTTTGCAAAGTGTGTGAGTGTGAGAAGGCAAATCGAGTGTGCCTGTTGTGTGTTCACATATGCGTGCGTAATACAGCTCATTTAGAGCAGGATAGATAAAGGATTCATCTGACCAGCCTATTTTTTTTTTCCCTAGAACTTGGTGTAATCCCAAGTATTTCTCTTCACTTCAAGTCCTGCTTGCTTTGGGGAAGGGAGCACAGCACCAGTGTGATGCACAATTGCTTTGTTTAGACTGGGAATTCCTCACTGGAGAAGCTCCTCAGGGCAAAGAGGAGACAGCTCTGTGCCTTTTGTTGTTGTGCCAGTAATGCTCTGGGCAGTGTTCCCCAGCACTGGTGTAAACTGGGAGCCCTGTTTTGCAACAAATCCTACCTGGAGTGTATCTTGTGGGCCTACAGAGTGCTGGATCACCTTACAAAGATCTGGTCTATGAAGAACTTAACTTGAGCTAGATTTAATCTGCTATCTGGATGCTCCTAGGATGCTGCAGTGTGTCCTGCTGAGCTGCTTGCAAGTGCCTGCACATTACCCAGGCAGAGGGCAGGGTTTGGCATTGTCCTCCATGACCCAGTTGGTTTACACCAATCCATCAGGATCTGAGCATTCCAAGCGGCCTTTCACTTTGTGAGGAACAACCTCTGCCTTAGCGACCTCAAATGCATGCCTAAAATGAATATAATTCCTGTCCTTATTCCTATATCCAACAGGCAAATACCAAGAAATCCTGACTTAATAAAATAATTCTCAGTCTCTAAATAACTCCCATAAAGTGACTTTAACCAGCTGTAACCAGGAGAGTTCTTTAAATAGTTTCAATCCAGGCTTGGCACAGGGCAAACTGTTCTTATAGTGAAGAATTTAAGAAATTTCCATTACTTCCTATGGGATTTCAGAGGTCAGTTTGGGGCTATGTAGGAAGGAGAAAGTTACAAGCTAAGCCAGTGGCTTCCAGCAGAAGTGTGGTGGTGATGGGTTTATTTCTATGAGAGTGGTGGTTTTGGGTTTCTTTTTCCCTTTTTTTTTCTCATATTTTCTGCTCCCTATAAAAAGTTGCTTTATGTAGGCTTAGATCCCCTTGCCCCAGAAGAATGTTTTTCAGGCTCTCATGGCATAGATGTAGTGCCTCTTTTTGTATTTGATAATTCAACTTTCTAGTGTCTCTTCCTTTAGCTTTTTAGCCAGTCAAGCTCAGCCATTTGTTTGGGATCTGAAGAGGTGACAGCATCCGTTGCCCTCATGCACAAGCACGTCAGCAGCTTGTGCTAGTGCTCCCTGTGGATAAATGCTTCACCTGGGAATACAAAATGCAGGAGCTGCTGCTCTCTCAGCTGCTGACAGATGGAGTTGGGGATCATCTGGTGATCTGAGCGCAGTGGATGATGCACTGTGTGGTGTTAAATCACTGCTTTGATGCAAAGTTTTTGTTGCCCTGGTCTCTCCTCCATGTAATCTTGAAGTAGTGTGGGTTTGTTTGCTTGTTTTTCTTAGTTGCAAGAAGCTGTTGCCAACCAGATCTTGTGGTTTCTTTGCTCCATGGTTTTCTCCTCAAAGCTCTTTGGACTGGTATTTCTCTTCTGGCAGTGTTTTATGCCCACCATGGGTGAGCAGTAGCAAAGGCAGCAGTTGTGGTGGATCAGCACTGAACATCTGACGCTCCTCCATGTACTGCCTGGGCTATTAAAATGTGCTAATTTATTGCACTGGGGACTGAAGTCAGAACTTCAGGGCATGTTTCAAAGGAGCTACCTGTCCCTAATGTAGGAGCAGCGACTTGGAGCCACCAGACCTTTGCCAGCCTGTCTTTTTTTTAATCAGATGTGCTCATCTAAGTCCAAGGAAACCACCAAGTAGTCCAGATTTAAGGCAAAAAATATCTGTCTTCCCTCTAATTAAGGACCTTATTGCAAGTAGTCTCAACACTGAGACACAGGGGAGCTGCTCCGTTCTTCTTGGCAGAGCTGACTGTCATAGATGCATAAAGGAGAAGGGGTAAATGGCTGTGAGAAGCATGTTAATTTTTTTCTAGAAATCTGGGTATTCTTAGCTTCATATAACATAAACACCCTCAGTGTGTGAGTGGCCCTTGCTGTATCAGTGATGGAGCCATCCCAGCCAGTGTGCATCAGCCTTGGGTATTATCTGCTGATGAAGAGGCAGGGCGGTTGCTCTTAATCCAAGCAGAATAATGTGCCTGAGACCTTAATTCTCTGTGGGAGACAAACGGAGATGCCTTAGTGCCAGGAGTATTTTGGAATTGTGCGCATATACGAGGGGGATTCGGTTCCCGAGCTGGGCAGGCTGGCAGCAGCTTTGCTGTAACCTTTGGAAGTGCTCAAGAGGTACTGGGCAGCATGTTTTGCTCTGATGTACAAAGCAGGGAGAGCTGGACAGCTCTGCTTGACAGAAATAACTGATTCTAATTTGGCTGCAAGCGAGGGAAATCCAGGCCACGCTGGAGGTGCGGGATTCCAGAGCAGGGGCAGGGTGGGCCCCTCGGTGGGGCTGTGCTGGGCTCGTGGGGGCGTTTCTTGTTGACCAAGCCACCTCAATTGTCGCTTTTTTGGCTTGCCACAAAACTGTGGCAGTACCTGTTCGATTACGAATGGACTTATGCTCAAAAAAATGAAGACTATAATAACAGCGTTAAAAAAACCCCAACGCCCCCCCCTACCTTTCTTCATACATTCCTCCTTGCTTCTTCACCCCGGGTTTCCCTTCAGAGCTGCGCCACGACTTTCTCTGGGAGGCAGCGAACGGTATTTAAAATTTGGGTCACGGAGGGAGGGGGAGCGGCGCTGCCGCCCGCGGTACGGGCGGGCAGGACCCTTCCTGCCCCTTCCTACCGGGGCCGTGCGGCGCCAAATTATCGCCCCCCGCCACCATCACTCTAGCGGGGGAGGGTGTGGTGGTGGAAGGAACAGGCGCTAGTCCCGTTATTTCAGCCTCTCGCTGCCCGGGTGGTTGTTGTGGCGCTCCGGGCTCTCCCTCCGGGCCGCCCGCGGGAGGAAACGGCAGAGAGCGGCATGGGGGGAGCCAGGAGGGGGCGCACGCTCCCCCGCCCGCGCCGCCGGCCGCGGTTTCCCTGTAACCAATGGCGAGGCGGCGCTGGCGTCCCGCCCCTCGGCCTTGGCCAATGAGAACTTACTACAGTGTTGTGGGGGGAGGAGGCGGGGCGGGGGGGGGGTAGAGCCGCGGGCGGGCGGCTGCGGGCGCGGAGCGGCGGGCGCGGAGCGGGAGGAACGGAGGCAGAGCGACTGGCTGGGCACGGCGCGGCCCCGGGGTGCCGCACCGCGGCGGGGGCTCTGCGGGGGCCGGTGCGAGGCCGGCGGGCGCCGCGCGCGGGGGCGGCCGGGTAAGTGCGCGCGGGAGCGGGTGCGCGGCGCGGGGGAGTGCGCGCGGCCTTTGCGCGGCGGCTCCGTGTCCGTGTGTCCGTGTCCGCACACGGCGGGCCGGTGCGAGCCCGCGGTCTCTGTGCGGGCAGGCACGTGTGTGTGCGCGTGTGCGGTTGTGCACGGTGTGTGAGTGCGTGTGCTCATCTGCGCAAGGTGCATCTTCACGGCGAGCGTGTGCGGTTGGTGTGCTTGTGCGTGTGAAGGGTGTGCGTGCGTGGGGTGTTGCAGTGTGCACGCGTGGTCTGCACAAGCACCCCATGTGTGTAGTTTGTATCGGGGGTGTGTGGTGTGACTGCTGTGAGCTCTGCGTGTGAGCACTGCATGGATACGCAGTGCGTGTGCGTGTGCTGTGTGTGTCTGCACACCAGGTGAGTGTGCCCCCTGTGTATGTACGTTCTGTGCGGGTGTGTGCAGCGTGTCTGTGTTTGCCCTGTGTGTGTGCACGGTGTGTGTTTGCAGTGACCGAATCCGGTGCATCTGTGTGCGCACAGCGTGTGTGTGCGCGGCTCGTGGGGCTGTGTGTGACATGGAGTGCTGGAAGTCAAAAGGCCGAGGCTCAGCCCGAGACAGATTCTGCAGGAGGCAGGGAATGGGGATGGCAGGATAGGGACACACAGTTCGGGGGAGCTGGCACCCCGTGTCCCCCTGTGCTGGGGCGGCGTTGCCGGGGCTGGGATCCCCAGCTCTGCCCGGAGTCCATTGTGCAGGAGCGGGAGCGAGATATGGCGGGGAAGGGCTTAGGGCTCCACAGACCGATGCCTGCTCACCCACCCAAATGTGGATGCTGTGGTCTGGTGTCACTCAGGCGAGGGCTCTTTCCTGTCCCTGGATCCTGCTTTGCCCTGAATTCTAGCTCAAGAAAACACCTTGGCCCACTGGGAAGTGATGCTCTTACTGGATTTTCCACCAAGGCATATTTTTATTTCCTGTCTCCAGTGAGGCACCGTTTGTGATGAAAATTACTCCAGAACGTCTGGAATGAGTTAAAATCCACCTCAGACACCTCTGAGTGCTGCAGCTGCAAGCGTTCCAAGTCCTCACTTCCTTGTCTTTTGGGGAAAAGGAACTTGTTCACCCTTGGTGCACTGGTTTGAGGAAGCTGGTTTTGGGCAGGGTCTGGCAGCTTTTCCCTCTGTGGCTGTGTAAATGGTAATTCAAGAATTGCATGATTGCATGGTGAAGAGAAAATTTCTTAGAGATTGTCCAAATTCTGGGGTTGGTGCTATGCTGGTTCAGTTATAATTCTGTGTGTTAATTTAATTAAGATATTGGACAAGCAAAGCAAGATAGGTCCCTTCCAATGCAAGCTATTCCATGAAAATCTAATATTTGAACAGTACCACAAATCCCTTTTTGCCTTCCCTTGCTCTTTCCATTTAAGATTTGAAGGCTTTTCGAATACGCTGGATTTTGCTTGCCTTAGTTTACTGGATCTGGAGGGATGGTCTTTGAATTAGTAATTCTTATTCACAGTTAAGATATGTAAAAATCATGCCTGTAAGATCTCATGGGGCAGAGAGTATGCTGGATCTGGATGAGGGATGCAGAGGGGCTCTGCCCTGGCTGCTGCTGCTGCTGTGGTGGAGTGCAATTCCTTTCATGCTTAGCTAACTCTTGTGTCACTGCCCCAGGATCTGCTCCCTTTGCTTCAAAGGTTGCTTCGTGGAGATCCAAAGTAGGTTGTTTTTATTTTTAATGGCTGGTCCAGCAATATTTTTGATGAATGTAAGTTTTTCCTGCAGCATTGTGGTGACTGGTAAGGGTTTTGTGTCGCATGTCAGTGATACCGATACTCTTGATGTTTGTGTTTTACATCATCTTGCATCTTCAGTTGCACTTCTAGGGCAATTTTGAGCATTGGGTGGGATTTAAAAGGCAGTGCATATCTCTGCTGCCATGGCCTTAATAAAGAAGGCGAGGATTTTCTAGGATTCCCATGGACAAACATAATCTGCTGTGGAAGATAAATATCAGGATAAACATAGTGTGTGCTCCTTACCTTGAAAACTCAATTAGAGCCTTATGAAACATAGAGAAGGATGATTTTTTCCTAATATAAACACATTCATTATTTCCTGTATCAGTGTAGATGACAAGAACAGGAATTACCTGTGTTTTCATCTGATCTCACAATTGCAAGTTAAAACAAATAATCTTATGAAAAGCAAAGCATTTCATGGGAAGGCAGCAATCCTGAGGAGTAAGGACTCCTCTTGGCCTGTTTCCAAACATTGTATGTTCCTGAAGCCTATAATTGCTTCAGGCAATGATACTCCTAACCTACATCTCCTGGCTCCAGTATCTTCCTGCCAAGGGCCATGTGCTCTGCATGAGCATCCATGCTGATTTTTGGAAAGTGGTAAAACAATGTCTCTCCTACTGCCCCATTTACTCCTTGTTGAGCAGATATTTGAATGAATGGAACATAGACTGGCAAGGATGTGGTTTATCTAGGGAGCAACCACCTCCACAAATTCATTTGTTAGAGATCAAAGTGTTGCTCTGACAGGATAGCTTGCAGGGATGTTGGGATGCTCCATGTGCTTTGATACATTGATAGGTGAATGATGATGATAATGATGTTGTGAATGTGGCATGTAACATGCTGGAATAAAGTTGTGTATACAGAAGGGTTGCTGATGGAAGGCAGTGGCTCTGTACTAGGTTTTCACCAGCAGTTACTTGGCATCTCAAAGGAATCCTGGATTTTTGGGGTCAGCAGGTGAACCTCAGGCTCTTCATCCTTGGATGTTCCTGAGTATCCATAGCATCTGACTGGGAATTTTTCTCAGGTATCTTTCCTTGTATTCCCAAATGAGGGGCATGTGCTGAGGGCCTCTTCATTTGGGGGAACTGTGACAGTACCTGTGTCACTGCAGGTGGATTTTTCTTCAGCCCCTTACTCCCATATTCCACCTATTTATTGGAAAAAGCCCTGGAAATCGGTGGTGCTCAGAGATCTTGTGTCCATGCCAGGTGGGAAAGCTCTGGGCTCTCCCCACCTATCCAGGCCAGAGATCCCTGCTCGGGGTGGGAGCTTCCCACCCCTCTTTTGATGGAGGAATGTGTGGGTGGGGCTGCAGTGGGGAGGTAGAGCTGAGCTGTACTGTGTGTCACACTGGGTCAGTATCTGAACTTGCTGGAGCTGATTTTACATCCCTGGGAAGCTGTGATGAATCTAAGGGCTTTAATAGGACGGTGTGAGGGTCCCTGCAGCGGCCCTATGAATGTAAATAATTTCCCATCATAAACTTTACTTTGTACTTTTAAGCGCTACTGTAAGTCTGTTGGCTTCCCTCTAACTTCTGTGCAGTTTTCCTAGAGCGTTAAGGAATAGCAGATACGCAGGTTGTTCAGGCTTGGAGCTGTGTTTCTTGCTCTTGTGTATTTCTCTGGGAAAGTTCAATATAAAGCTTTCCGTCAGGACTAGAAATTGCAGTCTGGGCTTGGGGATCTTTTGCAATGATTATTCTTTCTTGGTGCTTGGTTTATTGTCGTAATCTTGTGTAGGCTAAGCATGCAACAATGTGTAAAGATTTCCCTTTGTATGTCTAATCTACTACTGTTTTGATCAGTATTGTGGTTTCTTAAGTTGCAAAGAACTGTAGATGCGGCATAGCAGGGATTTATCTTTGTCCATCGGATGGATTAGGTAGGAATGTTTATGGCTTGTACTTAATCCAGATTAATATTATTAGTTTCTTTACGTTCAGTTGGTTGTTTACGCTCGTTTTCTGTTTATGTGAGTTTTTGCTTGTGTAATGCCGCTCACATTGTGTATTAAAAGCCAGTGCTTTTAATTTGTGCAAGTAGATCATATCGATGGACTAAATCTTTCTCTCTCTCTTTTTTTCTTTTTTTTAAATGAAGCAGTTCCACAGAGAGGGAAATTGTGTGGGCTTCAGGGCTATGTTCAAGCAATCGTACTCTTCCAGGCCATGCTCCTCCAGACCGTGCTGCATTTGGATCTGGGATTTTTAAACAAATTCCCATGCCAGCTTGCTTTAGCTGCTGTGCTCAGAGCAAATGTTGATAGCAGTGCTTTGTAATTTATAATTTATAAAGTCTTACAGCACTTGAACTCTGGTGCTTTTGGAGGAGACTGAGAATTTTGTATCTCCCTGATCTCAGTGCAGAGCCTAAAAGATGTAGGAAGATGGGAAGCTCAGGGGAGTGTTTCGTCTTGCAGGTGGTGGGAGAGCTCCATGGCTGCCTGGTTGCATGGCCGTGGCCACAGGTTGGGTGCTTCCCTCCCCCGTGTGTATTTTTGGGGAGCAGCCCAGTCCATCTGCTGGTGAGGGCGAGTCCCATGGGATGTCAGCCTGGCTTTCAGACTGGGTCACACAATGGAATAACCCTCTGTGACTGTATCAGGAAACCTGGAGCCCAGACCTGTGGAGGATCCTTTGCTCTGTCAAAATTGAGTCCTCCTTACAGGATCAGCTCAGCCTGGGATGTAACCACAGCAAAACACGCCGTGGCTGGAGCCTGGGGATGGGAGTGCGCTTTGCAGCAGTGGAAGAAGAATTGGGCTGGTTAGCTGTTTCTATGAAAACCACAATTCCTTTGAACCCTCCGGTCACTGGTTGTAGGCTGATTATTTCGCTCCTTCCCCACCCCATGGAATGTGTGTGTGTGAGAGAGATAATTAAAAGCTTTTAGTTAAATAAATAACTAAGCTGCTCACGTGGCTTTATAGTAGAATTGCAGAGCCAGACCCATGGAGGTGGAAGATGGTGTGTGCTGCTGTTGGTCCCACAGCATCTCCTCGCCTTCCCATGCTGGTGTGGCCTTGGAGTGTGATTCCATGTGGACTTTTCACCCCTAGGGCCTGTGTATCACTGAATGTGAGAGCGAGCAGGATGTAAGTGGGGACAGTCCCACCCATTGTGTCCAGGGCTCCAGGCTGTATTTATTCCCTTTTATTCAAACTCTGCTCCAAAGACAGGATTACTAATTC